ACTATTCCTTCTAGATGGTAAAAATGGCAGCTTCAGGTGGCTCGTTCAATAACCCTGCTCCTTCGTTAATTGCAAATTTTCCACAGCCTTAGTTCCGAGGTGAAACATTTGTTCAGTACATCATTTCACATTTTGATGTATATGCCTTTAGATGAACAGTTCGCCTTGCAAGTCTCCTCCTTTTGTACCTGAATTCGTGTCTAAACCTTGGCCATTTTCATCTCTCTGTTTGGTGAGGGAACAGCTTAAAGAGTAAGTTACCCTGATTTGCCACCTTTCGAGTAGTTTTAAGTTTTCTGACACGAACAACCCTTCTGAACGACCTAATTTTTGTCGTTTGTGATCAGGCACACAGTATGCATATATAGTGCTGTAAATGTCTAGTATTTAAATATGTGTATGAGTTGTTCCTATACAAGAGCATGTTAAATAACAAAAATATCTTATAATGTCGTTATTATATATAAAGTATTATTACCGTTGGGTCATAGGAAAACCGGTAGAGCAAATTTACCCGAGAGAATCATGCTCCTGAGTCATCGGGAAGCACTTCTTGCTGGCTGCCACGGTTCTTACCCCTATATCACTTTGGATGGCTACTTTTTATTGAAAATGATTAACTTCTATTCGATTCCCATGGAAATTCGATATGCCCCATAAATCATTATGCACCGCGGAGGACGTAACTAATGTGCGTAAGTGAACAATGCAGCGTCTTGTCGAAGGTAGAGGACAGTTTCTTTGAGTCTTGCCAAGAATCATAACCTTACGCAACCGTTTCCGCTTTCGTGCCTACCATTTATTCTGAGGTGAAAGGCGCCATCTTTCGTTTAAAATAATTCACTGTTCAGCTGATATGAAATGAACTAAAGGATTTGATCACAGAAATGACCAGTAGTGAAGTAAACGAAATCGCTGTCCTCTTATCTGCTATTAAATAAAGATGTTTAATTATCAATTATTGATCAATTGTTGAGTATGGTTTCCGTATTATTAATTCGTGCCTAAATCTCGTATCCAGTAAAGGAATCAACTGCCTGCACAATAAATTGGTTCCTTTACTGGCAGACTGAAAAGAATCGCCGTTTGTATTTTCAAGTCATCACTGGTTGAAGGCCTCTGTGAAATTTCGCCATTACCTTCGGCTGGACAATTAAAACTAACAACAATTCAAAGGAGTCATCTCAATCCTGAATTTAGGGGGCAGCGTGACAAACGGCTAGTTTT